GTTAATCCTAATTATTTTGGCCCCTTACACACAACACTTCATATATGTCTGAGTTCACTGGAGTAAGGCAATGGCATAGAAAGGGGTAGCTGGTGGGAAAAATATATGTCTAGCATGGCAAGACTGCTTCTCCCAAATTTTGGACATGCTATCAGGAGAGAGCAGTCCCAGGAAAAGGACAATTGGTTTGGTAAGTAGAGGGTCAGCGAAAAAGAGGAAGACCTTCAAAGACACCGAGGGACATCGAGGCTCTAACAAGTGGCTCAAATATAACAATAGTTATGAGGATGGCACAGGTTCAGGGAATGTTTCAGTCCATTGTGCAAAGGTTTGCCGTGAGTTGGAATTGATTATATGGCACCCAACAACAACAGACGATCTGAGAAAGAAGAAGAATATGTATTGCTAATCCCCAAAGAGAAGTGGCTACGACTATTAGTATGGTGTTATCGCATGGGTAGACTAGAGAAACGAATTCATGGGCAGTCATATGTTTATAAGAAAGAAGTTTATATACAAGAGCAATTAAATATTGAGAAAACATCCCAGCTCAGTCCAGATCAAGTCCACAAGTTCGATATTAGCCCATATGTCTGATACCAATCTATAAAGTCCTCTTCAGTCTCACGTAACATATGCAATGATGCCAAATGCAGGATGATCACATTCCAGTGAGAGGAGAGTATTGTGGATCCAGTGACGTTATAAGCATCTCAGTGCTGACAGGGGTCGCCACGGGGCTCCTCCAGCTCAGCACACTAGGGTAGTTCCATATATCTTGTCAGCTGCAGTGTCTCCCAGGGAGTGAGCGAGAGATAGCGTGTCTCCCACCTCTTAGGAGGAATATTGGAGTTCCCAGAATGCTTAGGGGAAGACCATGCTGCCCACACAGAGGCCTCATTGGCTCTAACCTGATTGACAGGCTAGACTCCATCCCTTCACTCTTAACCTCTCAAATTGACAAACGATTATATAACTACCTCACATAGTATGACAAGATCAACCAACTGGACGGATCCTGTATGTAGTGTGTGAACTGTTACAGTTTTGTGGTAGTGAGGAGAAAGAAAAGGAAAATTACTAGAAAAGAACAGCATGGTTGATAAAGTGGAGGGGAGGGGAGGAGAAAATCAAGAATAATCCTAAGGACATAGATTGGCACAAGAGCCAATGATCATATAGGTGACAAAAAATTTGAGAAGCATAATTTATGTTTATTTCTAGTCAAAAATATTTTAATAATTTTTTTGGACTTCAAGTGATGAACT